TAACAGTGGTGGCTTATTAACTGATGCTAATGCTTTGGAATTCGGTATAAAAGATGTTCCTCCTGGCACACAAGTAATGATTGCTAAAGTTGATCGTGATGACTACACATTAGCTGACCTCTTCTTCTTTCGTCGAGCAATACCAAAAGAACTGAATATTCCTAACGTTAATCTATACTTCAGTTTTGTTCGTATTGGATCTCTACAGCTGCTACATAATATTCCTGACTACTTATACTCTGCATTGTTTCCTCTATCTACTGAGATACAGCAACAGTTAGCTAGTATTGGTATCACTGAACTAACATGTGGTGATTATCAATATGATCTAAGAAAGGTTTGTAATTATCTTTTAATATTAAATAATTTTATTTTTTTAAATAGTTCTCAGCATCACAAGAGTTGCAGCAGTCAGTTCAGTCATCTTTAGATATTGGTATGTAAGTGGATGTGTATATTATGTAATTTTACTTTCCACTACCTATTGTGATATCATTATTTTGATTATCCGTTCATTCATGTATATTGATAATTTCTTTTAGATATATATGATCGATTATGGTATGAGAATACCAGTACACCATTACATGAAGCAGCTTGGAGAGGATTAAAAGATGAAGTACAATGGCTTCTTAACAAGTTTGGTTACAGCACATATCGTCGTGGTCTTCATGATTGGACTCCATTACACTCTGCAGCATATGGTGGACACATTGAGATCCTTCAACTACTCATCCATCAATATGGTATTGATCCTAACGAAGGTGATGATAATAGTGTATCTAGTATACATATGGCATCTTATAAAGGCCACTTATCTATAGTACAATATCTAGTAGACACGTGTCACATTCCTCCTGATCAACCAGACAATAGCAATAACACTGCATTACTGTACTCAGCAATGGGGGGCCATTCTGACCTAGTAGAATTCTTTATTAAGAGAAATTGTAATATTTCTCAAATTAATTCCCATAATGCTTCTTTATCATTGTTAGCTTGTAAAAGTGGGCAGGTAGCATTAATTCATAAGCTGGAAGCAGAACACCTCTTCAACCAAATTCATCTGACTTTTATGGATTTGGTATTCTGCATTACTCTTCTATGAGTAATAATGTTGAGCTTTTCAAGTATCTTTTAAATCGATATCAATTATCCATTGATGTGAAGGATCGACATGGTAGGACTCCACTTCATATTGCTTCATGGTATGCTTCATCATCAGTTGTTGAGTATATTGCTAGTATTCAAGGTAATGAAGCATTATTAGTTAATGATAATAATGGTAGGTCATGTTTACATCATGCAAGTGATGCATCCATTGGTATTAAAGCCACTACTGTGTATAGTAAGCTAATTGCACAATGTGATGCATCAAATATCGAGATTATTAGTGATAATAAAATCAAAAATAACATTAATTTCATTACACGCAATAAAAGAATAAAAGTGTTCACTTCACTACTCAAGAAAGCTATTAATTGCCACTTTGACATCAATGCTACCATGACTAATGGTGAGTCATTACTTCATTTAGCATCACGCAGTGGAAGTACATTACTTGTGAAAGCATTAGAAGAATATAATATCAATTGTACATTAACTAATGATGGTATGTCTCCAGTACATTATGCTGCCTGGTCAGATTTTACTAGTGTATTAAGTTATATCATATCTCATTATAATCTCAATGCTAATGATACTGATTATACTGGCCGTACACCATTAGT